ATATAGTGAAAGCAGGGGTTATACTGTGGGGGAGGGACATACAAAGCAACAAAGAGATAATCTTATAAATGCATTAGAAACACATGTATGAAAGAAAAAACATTAAAATACATAGCTAAGGAGAACAATCTTTTTGACTTAAGATATATTTTGTGTCTTGCACTTACTATAAATCTATGGCCATAAATAGTTGTGTGTTTATGATCATTCTGTTTTTGGATATTACCTTCTGGAAATTGCCCAACATTTATAAACTTCTTAATTCACAGAAATGTCCATCATAGTTATTTATAACATAGAAACATAATGCTACTGACAATTTGATTGGTAACTTGTTGGAGATATCTACTTAATAAGATATTATAGTCATTTTTTTAAAAAAAAGCAGAAACAAGCAGGATACTGTAAATCCTAGCTATTAAGGATATTGAGATACAGAGACTCACAATTCAAAGCCAGTTTGGGCAGAAAAGTCCATGAGACTCCATCTCCAAAACGTCCAGCAAAAAAAGACCTGGAGGTACGGCTCAAGTGGTAAAGCACCAACCAATCTAGCAAGCAGAGCAACATCCTGAGGTCTACTCACAGTACTGCCAGAATAACTAAGTAACTAATAAATATGCATGCATATATACATATGTACATACACATTAATACTTTGATAAATTGCTAATGCAAATATGGGTTGGAAATTGCTATATATAGTGTGATTATAATGATCTAAGTAACACAGATACATAGAAAGATAACAACAATAAACATGCTAAAGTATTTAAATGAATACAAAAAATAATTCTACTTACCTCATTTTTCTTAGGCTTCATTAATGTAGTTGTCTCTTATTTTGTAATAAGATTAAAAGACAAAAATCACAGACAAAAAAAACAATCCTGGTAGTTGCAGGAGCAAATGTTGAGCTAAGGGTGAGCTAAGGATGATGGCAGTGGGGGGAAGGGAAGAATGCCACTGTGGGTGTGTCAGAGGAAACACTTGAGTGAATGGCTGCATGCAAACAGCCTTCTCCAGTGATTTCTTGTTATGTTTTGATGTTTGCTGGAACCTAAAAAAACAAACAAACCAACAAACTTGAAGGTGAAGAAGTTACTAGCAATTCTGAGTGCAGTCTTATTCCAAGATCCCTCCTCAATAGCTGAAACTGAAGATAACCCTACATCCCATAACTTCATGCTTCTTCTACCTCAATTAAGTTCTTGGTATGGCCCTCATGTTTGCATTTGTAAGTCTGAAAGCAAAGTTAGCTTATTTCTTTCGCTTTTTTCAGGATTGCATGCACAGAGGACACTTTTGTGTCTTAAGATGTTAGAAACCTTGACCTTAGCAAAAGATATTTTTCTAACCTAAGTTGAGAACTTTCCCCTTGTCACTTTGAGGAAGCACAGTACTCTGCAGCTTCTCTTCGGCTTTTTCAAATCGCGAGTATCATGATGCTTGTGCTTTGGGACCATTATTAAGTAAAGTTAGGACTGCTGCAACACCATGGCTCTGACACCAACACAGACAAGCTGAAAATCCAGATGGCTTCTTGGTGACCAGGTGTGGAAGGCATGTAGTGTGGACACACCAGACACTAGGAGAGATGAAACAGCGTGGTGTGAAATTTCTTCACACTATGCAAAATAGCCTGCAATTGAAAACTGATTGGGGCATTTTGAAAATTTGCATTGAATACTTTTGGATGAAACTGGACAGACGAAGCACAGAGAAGAGAGAACTATTGTACCGGATTTTGCCTGCCTGAATTTCTCCTCCCTAAAAGTTTATATCAGTATGTTTACTTAACACCTTGTGTTTTAGGGCTGGGGATTCAGTAGGTTGAATGATGTGGTGGCAGGCAGGCAGGCTGGAGCATTCAGGAATTCCACAAGCTCCATCTCATCCCACAGACTTACGTCTTGAGAGCAAAGTGTAACCCTCAGACCACAAGGAGAGACTGAAGCAACACTTGTAAGATCCGCATTCACCTCAGATTCAGATTCCATATCTCCAGAATGACACAAACTATTGCAAAGGTGGTTGGTTGGTTGGTTCCTTGTGGAGAATCAGGTGGTAGAATGAGAGCCTGACAGGTGTGATGGATCTATGTGGATCTCACCCTGAACAAACAAACAGAAAGGCCTGGGACTTTCAACATCTTGAGCCTACATGGTATGAGGCAGTGTACACCGGCCTGGTAGGTGACCAGAGGTCCTTGCCCTCCCAGGCATAACTCCTAAAGCAATAGAAGAAATTACAACTCAAACTGCACCACCACTCTGGCTCAAACAGAATGCTTTGATCACTGAAGCTCACTTGCTCCAAGCTAACCAGACAAACATTTTTTACATTGTACAGAACAGAAAAAAAATGATTGTCAGAGAGTGAAAAACCTGACACTGAGTGTGGGGATCATTCTCTATTCTACTCAGGCATTGCATTCTCACAAATGGATTTCTACAGAGCTGATTTTTTTGTTATTATTGTTTTTCACCTATTTCCGGTTATTTTTAGACAGTCCCCCCTCCTTTTCTTCCTTGTGGTTTGTGTTTTTGTTTTCAGCTCACTCCGAGAGGATGTTTAATATGGGAGCTGTCATTCCCCCAGTCTTTTCTCAATGCATATTGGCTAAATTGCTGCTTGACTTTCCCAGGGTGAGTGATTAAATTGGCTGCGCCTAGTTCTTTTCAACAAACACAATAAAATGGAATTGGTTGGAAGGATATCTCAAAGGCAAGGAAGTCATTTGTCTGTCTTCAACCTCTCCTTAGAAACCCTGTTCTGTCTCTTGTAATTATGCTTGAGCAGCCATCCAGCTTCCCAGCCATGTTCTAGAGATGAGGGCCTCCTTGTGGGCTTACAACAGACCTCCACCTGGTGGGGGCTTCCCTCTACCTCTCTAGGTTTCTGGAGTCTGCTTGTGGCAGTGATGGGCCATAACACTGTTCTGGAAGGGAACTCAGGCCCTGAGCATAAGCCAGTGACTTCATGTGCTCATTTATGAAGGCTCTATGTGGGCCTCAGCATCTCAACAATAGAATGTGTGCATCGGATGCTGTGGTTTTTACGATTCCCTCAACACTGAGATCTCATGCTTTTTGGCTTGTGATCCATGAGACAGGAGTTTCTTAAACTCTGCAGCTACAACAGAGAAAGGAGCCAGTATGGACAAGGAAAGAAAGGGGAAAGAGGGTTGTTTCCTCACCTTGCATCATCAGGAAGCTGAGCTCAAGGGGGCCATTTATTGAGGATGCAGCAGAAGGAAGTGAAGCCAAGATGGATGAAGAGCAAAAGGAGATAAGCAGGGGCAGGGCCTGGCCACCCAGAGCCCTTGAATACTGCCATTGTCCCCACTGAGCTGCCTAGGCAGAGAAGCCAAGAGTCATACACTTCCCTGTTCTGTCTACATGAAGGCAATCAGTCCCCAGCTCCATTGACTCCCTGTCTTGATTTGGGCTTGGGGTGCTGGGGATTACACTCAAGGATTTAAGCATGCTAAGCACACTCTACCACCAAGTACATTCTCGGCCAGTATCTCTTCTTTTCCTTTCTCATGATCAAAGGTCAGGTTAGCCAGAGCCAGTGGCTCATGCCTGTAATCCTAGCTACTCAGGAGGCTGAGATCTGAGGATCACGGTTCAAAGCCATTTTTCAAGGTTTTCAGCACAGGCAGAAAAGTCTCCATGAGACTCTTATCTCAAATTAACCACTCAAAAACCTAAAGTAGAGCTATAGTTTAAAGTGGTAGGATGCTAAACTTTGAGCAAAAGAGCTCAGGGACAGTACCCAGGCCCTGAATTCAAGCTCCATAATTGACTAAAAAAAAAACCCAAAACAATATTCAGGTTAGTCTTCCTCTCTCCTCTCCCTCCCTCTCTCCCTCTTTCTCTCTTGCTCAATAATATTGAGATGCTTCATTTTCTTTTACAAGTAGAAGGAACAACTTATAAATAATTTATATTAAGCAAACTATAATTATTCTGTTAGTTCTAACATGGCATTGGTTTTCCTAAACCAATCCAAGAAGACTTCTCGTTTTAAGACTGCATCTGATAGGAAGACGACATTATTGCTGGTGGGATGCCTGAAGCACATCCCTTCCTCTCTCACCTGTGGCTTCAGTGACTTTGGTTATGTTGGGGCACATTCTCCCAGGCAGGCACTGACTTCACACCAACCCTGACACTATTTAAACCTGACCAACATAATCAATCACCAACTCGTGATAGCACTTACCACTCTTCATCCTACTGCAAAAATTAGCCTGTGCCCTGGGACATTAAAATGTTGTTTGCTAATCTAAAATCCTCTTCATCACTCATAATCTCTAGCAGAGCCCCACACAGTGTAGTAGAAGGGAAGCCCTGCCTGCACATTCTCACCTGTGCTCTCCTCATTCATCTCTTAGTCCCCACAGACAGTTGGTAACTTTCTGCATGTGCACCCAAGTCCTTTCTCAGAGCCTGGTTTTTACCTGGAGTGCTTTATTTCCCTCCTCTCTCCATCCAGCATTTGAATGCATCCTTTAAGATCCCATCCCCGATGCAAACCTGAAACCAAGCATCTGTTACTCCATTTTCATACCTTTCCTCTTGAGTACATCTTAAAATAACTACTGCCCTTCTTGAGTTCTTGAAGCATGTTCACCAACTCATTGGAGTGCCTATAAATAATATAGATATTTCTTTCTCTCGAGCCAAACAGAAGGAGATATAAACACAAGGAGATGCTTTATTCATTTCAGTCTTTCCTACACAAGAAACCCTTAAGATGAATTATTTGCTTACTAAATGATAGGAGAAGTCCGCAAGATTATAGCTGCTCATCTTTTTATACAAGGAGAAAGGCCTTGGCACCTGAGGTCTACATACCCATGAGGGTGGGAATGTCACAAACTCGGCAGGACTCTTACTTTGTAAGACTCTTATTTTTCAGGACTCTTGTTTTGTAGACTATTCTCTGAGAGTGGGTCTGTGGCAGGTTCTTTTTGAAGCAGCCACAGAAGTCACTGCCACCTGTAACTGCTGACATTGTGGTAGTCCTGAAGTCCTGGGCAGTGACCACCAAAGCCAAAAATAAGCCAGTCATTGGGAGGGGCTCTGCCAAGACACAAGAACATTGCCCCCAGCTGAGCCTCATGCAAAGCCACTGCCTGTGGGGTGTGGTTATGGCAGAATAAAAGCAATATGCAGGCAGGACGGGAGAACCAGAGTTCAGAGGAATGAGGACAGGCTGCCTTAGCACAAACCAGTGGACTCTGGTTTTACATAGGGGACTCAGAAGGGGTCTACCTTCCATAAACTATGAGGGTCCAGGGAGAGATTTTCAGGGGAATGACATCATTTAAGATGCAATGTGAACTTCTGTCTAGTGTTTAGCTGTGCAGTTGAAGTGTATAGAGAGAAGAAACAACCTGGGAACATGAAAGAATATTCTAGGAATGGTGAGTCTGGAGCTTGGGTGGGTGGGTGAAGCTAGGACTGGAGAGAGAGGAAGTGTGCCCTGAAATGTAAAGGGCTAACAGCACGATAGCTATTCAGACTTTATTCTTCTCATGGAAATAAACCACGTAGGGAAAATGGGGTAACAGATGCTTGGTTTCAGGTTTGCAGTGGGTACCGGATCTCGAAGGATGTACAGGAAAATTGGAGTTGGAGGCAATGCATCATACTGGCTTTCTCAGGTCAATCCAAGAGATCAGGAAAGGCCTCTTGCACAGGCCTTGGTGGTTCACAGGCAACTAGAAAGGCAGCCATGCTCCCTGGGGACAGCTTGCACAGGGTCTGTTGATGATTTTGGAAATCCTGACATCAGTTAGTGGTCTTCCAGTTATGATTCTGTCAAAGAAAGGTTTCACAATTCAATATGGTTTCCACCATTATTTTACCTATCTAGTTAACAACCCGTTGAAATCAAATACGATAGTGTTGAAAGAAATCTGAAGCACAAATGCACAAACCCAGGGCTGGTGGCTCATGCCTATAATCCTAGCTACTCAGGTGGCTGAAATCTGAGGATATGGGTTTGA